GTTCACTAAGCAAATGGAATGGAGTACCTTCAGATTTCAGAAGGTTAAGGCAAATTACATACCATTACCCTATTTCTTAGCCATTTAGCACATACTTGAGCACTTCGTCAAGAGTCTGCTACAGACACGGAAAGTGTAAGGTAAATGATGTGTCTTTGAGGAGCTCCTGGCCTAGTGGAGAAACAGTCTTTAAGGAAATAAATGACAATACTGTGAATTCAAGAGCAAGAAAAAGAGAAAAAAAAGAAAAGCACAATCAATGAGAGAGGTTACAAAGGTTATTTCAGAAGTGGTGACAAGAGTTTGAAGGAACGAAGAGCACTCGGAGAAGTGGACATCTGGTGTGGGATGGCGGCAGTTGAGAGAAGAACATTTCAAATGGGAACAAACATATGCAAAAGCACTGAAGAAAAAATGGCATTAGGCAGTGCCTATAGTTCAGTGAGTAGGGTACTGGCCACATACTCCCAGGCTGGTGGGTTTGAACCCGGCCCGGGCCAGCTAAACAACGACAACTGCAACAAAAACAAACAGCCGGGCGTTATGGTGGGCGCTTGTAGCCCCAGCTCCTTGGGAGGCTGAGGCAAGAGAATCACTTAAGCCCAAGGCCCAAGAGTTTGAGGTTGCTGTGAGCTGTGATGCCATGACACTCTACCAAGGGCTACCTAGTGAGACTCTGTCTCAATAAAAAGAAAGAAAAAACTGCATTATGTTTCAGGAATATTTCTGAAGCACCTAGAGTGGGAGGCACTGAAGATTGGTCTCTTTCCAAAATGCATGACTGAACAAGTGGAAACACATGATCACACTTCTATTTTAGAAACATGATTGGCAGCAAAGAGGATAGCAAGGGCAAAGTCTGAGAGAGACCAGTTGGAGCAGTGATTCTCAACCTTCCTAATTCCGCGACCCTTTAATACAGTTCCTGTGGGTTGCCACCCATGGGTTGAGAACCGCTGAGTTAAAGGTTACCATAGCCAAGACAGGAGAGTGAAGGAGCAACAATAGTGAGAATGGATGAAGAATCTGAGAGAGATTTGCTGGTAAGTTGAATGACTTAATCAGGTGAGCTGGTAACAAGAGAAGGAGAGCTAACAATAATCTGGAGATTACGGCTAGGAAAGTAGGCAAAAGGAGTGCTCAGGGTGGGCAAAGCTTGGAGAGGGAACCTCTGAATGACCTCACCTTTGAATTAGGAGAGCCTGATGCTACCCAGGGATAGTAAGGAAGAAAAATGGAAATATCCCTATGGCAGTTATGTATTTAAATCAAACACACAGCAAACCTAACAGTCATCTAAATAAAATGGCATTTAAGTTACTTAAACTATTTTTTTTTTTTTTTGCAGTTTTTGGCTGGGGTTGGGTTTGAACCCACCACCTCTGGCATATGGGGCTGGTGCCCTATCCTTTTGAACCACAGGAGCTGCCCAAAGTTACGGAAACCTTTTTTTTTTTTTTTTTGAGACAGAGTATCACGTGGTATCACAGCTCACAGCGACCTCCAGCTCTTAGGCTTAGGTGATTCTCTTGCCTCTGTCTCAGTAGTAGCTGGGACTACAGGTGCCTGCCACAAAGCCCAGCTATTTTTTGTTGCAGTTGGGCTGGGGCTGGGTTTGAACCCACCACCCTCAGTATATGGGGCTGGTGCCCTACCCACTGAGCACAGGCGCCGCCCAAACTTTTTTTTTTTTTTTTTTTTTTTTGAGATAGAGTTTCACTGTGTTGTC